TGTAACACTCCACACTTGCCCTCAAGGTTAAACGGGCTTGTCTTCAAGGAGAAACTATTTTGGAAAAAGGTAAGGTGTGAATTTAAAATGCTTATGGCTATTCTGGAATAACGCCCCACACGGATGCTCATTCAGGAATAAGAGTATCCATGCAGGGAGCTATTCTGCAATAGCTATTCCAATCAATTTCAAATACAGAACAAAAAGTTAGTCCCTGCCCCCAAAAGCTCTGCTGTAATACAAATATGAAATAAGGGTCAAATCTGGGTTGGGATTTCACATGTGGAGAAAGAGAGCTGTCAATTTCATTTAATATTTATTCCCTTAGAAATCCGAATCTGGATGAGAAACTAAACATATAACAAAAAAAGAAAGTTTATCTTGGTGCCTTCCTGATTCCTAGCTAGGGTACCGCTGAGATGGATGGTGCATTCGAAATGCCGAAGATAGAGCCTGCTTTTTAAAATCCTGGCTAAGACAGCAAGTACAATAAAACTGTTCTGTGGGCTTATGGGATTCCAAGCAACAGCTTAAGAGAGGCAGTTTCCACTTCATTTTTCTGTTTTAATTAAAATAACTGTGATCAATGCACCTTCCTACTTACATCACACTCCTCTGACAATAGAAAAATGACTGCAAGAGCCTTGAGGGAAAGAAGAAAGGCCTATTCAAATCCATAAGAAGGACTGCCAACCATTACGGGATAATTGGATTCTAGGCTGCACTGGTAATTATGAGCAAAGAAAGATATGGAGAAAAATCATCTTCAATGTCATTTTTCCACGCACAGAGGTGTGAACCACTAGCAGCAGTGTCATTCACACCCCGGACACAAGCAGGAGTCGTTTCAAAGGAGAAAGGCTTGTTCGAGTCCATTTCAATGCTGCACTGCTAACCCAATGGAGCGAAATCTTTAGAAGACATGCAAGCTTTGTAAAAGACCACAGAAACTGCCAGACTGCTTCAGATGAGCGGTGGTTCTATTCAGTATCAAGTCTCTAGTTCTAGAGACTCAACGCTTCAGAGGAAGGTGAAAGAAACCTCATACTACAAATATGGAAAAATCTATTCAAAGGGAAGATTCTTCCTAACACCCTTCACTTAGAACCTAGAAGCATGAAGGTTTATAGGCCTTCTACCTTTAAAACAAAATACATTCAGATCCTGTCTAATGTAACTGTGGATGTTCTCATTAGCCATATAAACATCCAGTCCTTTCTTGAATCCCAGCAAACTCTTAGCCTCAATTATGTCAGCTGCCAATGAGTTTCACATGCTAAATCTGCACAAAGTAAAAGAAAAAAAATCCTTTTTTTGTCTGCGTTCTTTGGAGGAAAGCAAAGGTTTCCAGATAGAACATAACATAAGAACGGCCATACTGAGTCAGACCAAAGATCCATCTAGCCCAGTATACTGTCTTCCGACAGTGGCCAATGCCAGGTGCCCCAGAGGGAATGAACAAGTAGTTGTCAAGTGATCCATCCCCTGTCGCTCATTCCCAGCTTCTGGCAGCTTCATAGACGTTTGATACATCAGCCCTCTTTCGAAATTGCCACAGATATCCCAAACACAGTACACTGCGTGAGCTATTTTCCTGGTCTTTCTCCAGGGTGATAAGCATACTCTTGTCACAAAACACTGTGTGTTATATCAGGACACCACCATTTTTAATGTTTTTAACAAGTCCCTGCGGTCAGTGCTCTGACTTAACAAGGACCATGAATCAGTATTTGAGGAACGCTTCTCCGCTGTTGCAGGTTGATAGAGGATAAGGACAGATGATCCCAGACTTTCAGGCTGTTTTTCCCTAAAGCAAACTTGAAACTTGCCCAGTTCATGAAGTATCTCCATTTGTATTCCTTTGTCCCTTAGAGTCCGACCACGCCAAGCCCTGAAGTGGTGGGCTTGCGATGCACAAGATAAATGCCCGGCCCTTCATTAGACAGGATGTCGAGGTGAGGGCACATGAAGACAGCAATTGCTCCAACTCTGACAAGCAACTTAAATCAAACGGGAAAGCCAATATTTAAACTGTGGCTCTTTAGACTGGCTGCCAATCTGTTGATTAGACCGCACCGGTATGTGCTTGTCCAGATGTGCTCTGTCCATTTCTCCGGCACTGTGATAATGGGCTACATAAAATGTCATAGGGCTTTGTTCTCACCGTAAGCATAACTTCTCATTATCTTGGATTTTCACTTAATTTTGAAGAGGTGCCATGCAGGGAATCCCTGCTGTCCTCAGGTGCCTCTGTTAAAGGAGGACTTACCAGTGTGAAAGGTAAGGTGGGAAGGGCACAGAAAAAGTTAATGCAGTCTATGCTATTCTATACAGGTTCTTATACCGCTCTCATCTCCACATTATCTGCCTCCTGTTTCCATGAAATTTGGAGGGAGGCAAGATGATGCCTCCCTAGCCACAGCGAGCCAGACTGTCCTGGGAGGAGGATGACCTATCCCAACCCATGCAGTAATGGGGAGATCTCAGTGGACATACGGTGGATTTTGGTGCCTACTGGCAACCAAATAGTAGCTCAGAGCCCTGAGGGACCATTCCTGGAACTAGGAATGGCTGGAGTGCAGAGGCTCTCCAGCCACAATCTTGTTCTTTTAACCACACCCCTGGCAGGCTGTGGATTTTGTAGTGTCTTCCTGGCAGTGTGAGCTCCTCCCCAGAGCTCTCTCTCAGCACCACATTGACCCCCTAACTTTCATACCTTTGCCAATGTGAAAAAGTCTCTCTCCAGTAACATCATAAATCCCACACATGAACTGCAGATCTCTCTAAGCCTTGGGAGTCTTCCAGCATCACTGGAAGCTTCTAGCCAGGCCCCTGCTCTGCTTTTGAGTATTAACTACAAATGGATCCAAACCACAAAGCTTGGATCTGAACCCAAACTCTGGCTTCGGTTTGGTTCAAGCCCATCTTAGTTACTAATAAGTAAATGCATGGGCTTATTTTCGCCATGCTCCTCAGCCAGAATGCAGCAGACTGCTGCATTTTTATCACCTGCACGTTTTAAAAAAAAGACAAGTGGTTTGCAATGCACGATGTAGCAGAGCTGAGCAAATAGTGCAAAACATTTTATGGGAATTTTTGTTCACATTTTAAAATAAATTTCCCTACAGCCATTTTCACAACCTCTTTTGGTTCATTTTATGCAAACAAATATTATTAGATCTGCATGCCACTGTGTTGGGTCCTGTACAAACACACAGTAAGAGACAGCCTCAGCCCTGAAGACCTGACCCTCGAAGCTGTTCTGGCACATATGGGCGTGGGAAACAAATTTTAAAGTTGCCTGCCTGAGTATTTGTGAAAACAGAGCTCTACATTTGCAAACATAAACAATTGTGCTCAGAAGGCTTGCATGATTATCCAATCACGAAATAAACACAATGGCAAGTGAAGTATGTAGGGTGACCAGATGTCCCGTTTTTAAAGGGACAGTCCTGTTTTGGGGACTTTTTCTTATATAGGCGCCTATAACTCCCTGTCCCGTTTTTTCATAGTTGCTATCTGGTCACCCTAGAAGTACATCACCAGTCATGACTAAGCAGCACAGTTCATATTTTGAATGTTGAGTAATAGTGAGGAACCCCTCAAGTGAAAAAAAAAAAACAATAAAAAAAAAACCACAGCAAAGAGCTAGGTACCAATGGCATCCAAAAAACTAATAAATTGGAGAATCTACAACCTACTCACAGATGGTCAATAAGCCGAAAAAGAAGTGACATTCAAATCATTTCTTTGCTCACACAACTACTGTTGATGTTGGTATCAATGCACAAAAACACCGCAGTAGTGACAAGCATACGGAAAAACAAACCCACAGCATCTAGCCATGAGGTGTATTTATTCTCCCAGACGAGTTCCCTTTCTAAAGACAAAGTCTCCTTCTGCATACTGTCTAGAGCCCATTCTTTCATGGCACAAGCTGAATGGCAGCAGTTTCTGATAACAAGGTTTTGACAGTGGTAGGATTGGTTAGCGTCCTACCTTAGCACACAAAACAACCTATGACAAAACAGCCATATTTTGCAATGTGATGTACTGTATAGTCTCTACTGATGGACTTTCATTCATCTGCTGCTGCAGACACAGAAAAGGTGCAAATCTATATTTGTCTTGAAAACAGAAAACGATTAGTGCCATGAAGTTAACTATGGCAAAAGAGGTCCACGAAGCTCTTCAGGATGCAAATGTTTAATTGTCATTTCCCAATTCAATCATGAAATCATTTCAGGAATTCTAAATAATCCATTTTTTCCCATGGAAGGATCCATTTGCTTAAATTCACAGTGCTATAGAAACAGCACTGCTGATTCAAGGAAATGTTAATGAGCAACTTCATTTGATACAGTTAATCACGCTATTGATTTCCAGAAAAGGTTAATGTTTGCTTCTCTGAGAAATCCTGAAAATAAAGTGGGAATCCCCCTTCACAACTCGTAAGTGTGGAGTTGTTGGAAAAGAAAGCTTTGCCCATTTACAGCTAACTCGGGGTTCTCAAACTGGGGTTCTCCTTCGGGGAGTCATGAGGTTATTTCATGGGGGGGGTCGCAAGCTGTCAGCCTCCACCCCAAACCCCACTTTGCCTCCAGCATTTATAATGGAGTTAAATATATTAAAAAGTGTTTTTAATTTATAAGGGGGGGGCACACTCAGAGGCTTGCTGTGTGAAAGGGGTCACCAGTACAAAAGTTTGAGAACCACTGAGCTAACTTAAAGTTTTCATGCGAAGAAAAACAGATAACAGGTGGTATTTCTGAGCCAATGCTGAGTCTTGCTGAAGAGTGACATCACATGACACAGTAACCCCCCAAAGGGGTCCAGAAGAAGAGACTTTCCTCTTGGTTTAAGCTGACCTTTAGAGCCACAGCTTTAGCAGGAAGAGGCCGAGTGTGACATGCAAATATGCTCATGCATGCATTCATATTTGCATATGCAAACAGAGGCGTTCATATTTGCAGGGACCGATCCCATTTGTGCGTACTCACTGTGCAAGCTGTGCTTTCGCTGTCTGACAGTCTCTGGTGCAGGTCAAACCAGAGAGTCTGAAAAAAGTGCAGAAAATACAAACACCATTATAATTGCAATAAACAAGGAAAAATGAACGGTAACGGTCTCTATCAGGGTTGCAAGGTTAGCTGCCCTGTTCAGGTGTTCTTTACCTCTCCTGGACTGGAATTTCACAGTTCTCCCACTCTTAGCCAAAGCCAGGGGCTACAACACCCTGTATATCAACTATACTTAATCAGCAGGTCTGACTGGGTTCAGCATCCGCAGTCCTTCCCTGCGAGAGTCGGTGACCAGTGGTGTATACAGCCAAACAGCCTTCTTAAAAGTACAGCATTGCTTATTCTCACAGTAAAAACAAAGAACTGAGAGAAAGAAGGATTTAAAAACAACAGTCTACACACATGGCTATCTAACCTCTAGCCCTAGCATCCAGGGATGGTGACCTAGGCAGGGCCTCTGCCGTAGGAATTGTTTTGGGGAAGTTTTATGACCTATGCTACACAGGAGGGCAGGTTAGATGATCACAGTGGTTCCTTCTGGCCTTGGAATCTATGATCTTTTGCATTGTTATAATGAAGATGGACAGACTTGGAGAGGAAAGTTCGCCATGTATTCACAGAAGAGTACTTACACTGGGTTGTGTAAGTGCTGACATGGGCTGGAGGCAGCGTGGGCTGATGGTTAGGACTCAAGAGAACTGTGTTTAATTCCCACCTCAGCCACTGGTTTACTGGGTGACCATGGGAAAGCCACTTTCTTCTCTCAGTGCCTCAGTTTCCCCATCTGTAAAATGGGGATAATGATAGGGCTCTCCTTTATAAAGCGCTTTGAGATCTACAGATGAAAAGCACTAGATAAGGCCCAGATATTACTATATTATTTTTAGCCTCTCCTACGATGTGGTCACTTGTCTCCTAGAGAATAGCTACACACCCTGCCACAATTCACTTGATAGGGACCAAACAGCTGACTTCCTAGTCACAACCAATAAGGGTTAGATTTCTACCATACAGAAGTACAAGGCTCCATATCTCTGAACCATCCTGTCGCACCATCAAAAGTAAATCTGCATGCACACACTGTTAGCTCACAATAACAAGCTGAACAAATTAGTTCAACTCATCTTAAAACCCAAAGTTATGAAATTATTTTATCACCTTAATACCATGAATACTAATGGAGCATTTAAAGCAGGAGTGTAAGCAATGGAACCCTTCTTGTGTCTTTTATCTATCACTTTCAACACCTAGGGCCATTTAGCACTTCCAAAAACATTTCCCCAATGTGAGCTGTGGAAGTCATTTTCCCAGTGATCTGCACAAAAGGCAGCGTACATAGAGACATTGCACATAATGTTATCTGCCAGTGACAGCCATCCAACTCTCTAAGCTTCTGAATCTGAAAAATCCAATGTGCAATCAGCTGGTTTGAGACCAATGTCGGGGCTGCATGTTTGCAAGTTGCAAACACAGATTTGGACATTAGAGTGTTTTTATTTTTTGTGGTGGGACCAAACTTCTGAGCACATCGTTTGTCCTTCGAGGGCAGCAGAGAGAATTGATATTCATTGCCTTATCTAGGAGAGGAGAAAATAAGACAGGAGTCGAGAGTGCAGACGACACATCAGCTGGGGAAGGCAGTTAACATTGCTTCTTGTGCTGTACTGCATTCAATAACTCCAGCTCCTCATTCTAGCCTGCAAGGCCCTGCACAAACTTGCCACTGGCATCATCCCTGCTTTCATTTCTACCTCCTGCCCTATTCGCCGTGTATGCTCCTCCCTCCTTCCCTCTCCATCTCTCACCCTCCGCTCCACAACTTCAGTCATGCTGCTGCTTGAGGCCCTGGCCCAGCTAACCCTTATGCATTTGTTTAACTTTACTACTGTGCTTCCAACAGGACAACTTATGCCAATAAAGTTAAGCACCTGTGATTGGTGCCTAAGGCCCCCTCTCTCAATATAAAGTCACATAAAGCCTCCCCATTGAAACCTACTTCTTCCAGGAATTTTGAGCACCTTGCCCTCCTCACTAACAATCTCTGCACACCTTCCCTTGGCTAAACTATTGCACTGTGTCGTGTCTTGAGTCTGTTTGTCTACCAAGAGTGCATCAAGGCTGGCAATGTGTTCTCCTGCATCCCACATTGAGTTGCTGGGGATCTCCCCTTTCAAATGGTATAAAACCTCCCTTTTCTATCTCCAAAGGGTCAGGAGATCTAAGCCCTTAAAAGCGCATATGCAAGACTGGATAGTCTCCCAATGTTGGATGTGGCCACTGTAAATGTAGGAGTGAAATGTCACATTCGGGAGACTCAAGGGACCATTTCTGTGGTAGGCTGATTTCAGATAAAATGGTGACTAAGCCTTGAAACATTAGCAGCAGTTGGCTCAATGGGCAGAGGGCAGGTGAGGACGTGAAAGGTGCATGATAAATGCAATTTACCACTCAAACATAATCGCCACATATGTGACGTATATATTGATATAGAACTAGGCAGGAATCCAACAACAACAGGTGTTCCTCACGCACTGCTGCCTTGTGCAATGTGCATCTTACACAACATTTAAATTAGGTCACCTTCACTGTTCCCTCTTTCCCCCATGCACCCCAGTCTGAACCCTGAATGAAAGCAACTGATCTTGTCTCTAAATGATCCCTCAGCTGTGTGCTTAACTGGTGTCCTGAATTAGAGATTTCTCATATGAAAGAAAGTTAGGACCCTTCACGCATCTATACAGTCTAAGATCAATAAAGAAGGAATTGATTTTTTCCCGTAACCTCTTTTATTAATGGCCTGTAGATATGGTGAGATTTGAAAATGCAGTCAGTGCTGTTTGCCAACAGAGAAATATGATGTATTACTGCATAATATCAACCAACATTACAAAATTAAAATCAGAGATACATTATGTATTGCAGCATATGTATGTACAGTAGTGGGTTAAGTTATCCCAAATATATCTGGTACTGTGGGAATAGGGGCATTGGGAAGTGAGGTGGATACAACCCTATTCACAGGTGTCTCCTCTTGCTAGGAGAACTACCAGATCTTTAAAGTCTCTGAAGCCAGAGGAATGCCTACATAGTATTATCCCAGGCTGCAGTGGGTTTTATGTATCAGTGTGTGATTGGCATTTTTAATCCCTTCCTAGCGCACTGAACAGAGATACTGAAGTCAGTTAACGCAAGGAAGTTTCTTCACTGTGCAGACCTTCCAATGGGGCTCTTATTGTATAACTCAAAATGTCGCTTGCTGAACAGCAAAGTCACCTTGAGCTGAATTTTCAGGAAGTTATTTTACTGATCCAGCCATGACTTGGGATACCAGGGCACAGCTCAGAGCAGCCCTTCTTTCCAGGATCCCACATACAACCCCTTTCCCTCTGAAGCGTCCTTGCTTTGTCAACCAAACCAACCAATCAACGAGGCAAACCTGGCACATACTGAATCAACAGAAGTGCAAGTGGTGTGTGCAAAGAAGCCTTTCATTTATTTCTCCTCTGGCCTTCGGTTGGTTTAAGCTGTAATAGGTACATGAGGTGCTTTAAAAGAAGGGGTGTTTGAAGACTTTTCAGATAAGAAGCTGCATCTCAGAGAAAAAAGAACAGGAGGACTTGTGGCACCTTAGCGACTAACAAATTTATTTGAGCATAAGCTTTCGTGAGCTACAGCTCACTTCCTCGGATGCATACAGTGGAAAATATAGTGGGGAGATTTTTGTATACACAGAGAACATGAAACAATGGGTGTTACCATACACACTGTAACGAGAGTGATCAGGAAAGGTGAGCTATTACCAGCAGGAGAGCAGGCGGGGGGGTGGGGGGGGAGAACCTTTAGTAGTGATAATCAAGGTGGGCCATTTCCAGCAGTTTACAAGAACAGTAGGAGGGGAAATAAACAAGGGGAAATAGTTTTCCTTTGTGTAACGACACATCCACTCCCAGTCTTTATTGAAGCCTAAGTTAATTATATCCAGTTTGCAAATTAATTCCAATTCAACAGTCTCTTGTAGGAGTCTGTTTCTGAAGTTTTTTTATTGAAGAATTGCCATTTTTAGGTCTGTAATTGAGTGACCAAAGAGACATTATCAAGGGTCTACAACCTATCCTGAAGGATGACCCATCACTCTCACAGATCTTGGGAGACAGGCCACTCCTTGCTTACAGACAGACCCCCAACCTGAAGCAAATGCTCACCAACAATCACACACCACACAACAGAACCACTAACCCAGGAACCTATCCTTGCAACAAAGCCCGTTGCCAACTGTGCCCACATATCTATTCAGGGGACACCATCATAGGGCCTAATCACATCAGCCACACTATCAGAGGCTCGTTCACCTGCGCATCTACCAATGTGATATATGCCATTATGGGCCAGCAATGCCCCTCTGCCATGTACATTGGCCAAACTGGACAGTCTCTACGTAAAAGAATAAATGGACACAAATCAGACGTCAAGAATTGTAACATTCAAAAACCAGTCGGAGAACACTTCAATCTCTTTGGTCACTCGATTACAGACCTAAAAGTTGCAATTCTTCAACAAAAAAACTTCAAAAACAGACTCCAACGAGAGACTGCTGAATTGGAATTAATTTGAAAATTGGATACAATTAACTTAGGCTTGAATAGAGACTGGGAGTGGATGTGTCATTACACAAAGTAAAACTATTTCCCCTTATTTATTTTCCCTCCTACTGTTCTTGTAAACTGCTGGAAATGGCACACCTTGATTATCACTACAAAAGGTCCTCCCCACCCCCTCTCTCCTGCTGGTAATAGCTCACCTTTCCTGATCACTCTTGTTACAGTCTGTATGGTAACACCTATTGTTTCGTGTTCTCTGTGTATATAAAATCTCCCCACTAGATTTTCCACTGTATGCATGATGAAATGAGCTGTAGCTCACGAAAGCTTATGCTCTAATAAATTTGTTAGTCTCTAAGGTGCCACAAGTACTCCTTTTCTTTTTACGGATACAAACTAACACGGCTGCTACTCTGAAACCTGCATCTCAGAGGATTC